AAAAAATGCCATTTTTATTCTCCAATCAAGAGTTAGCGGTTATTCATTTTGTGTACGGCTTTGTAAATGGAATCGCAGCAGAAGCAACCAGAGAATACGCACGAAGATTTCAAAATGGACGACATCCAACTCGCTCAGTATTTGTAAGAGTGCATCGCCAAATAATTGAAAATGGAAAACTCCAAAGGGATCAAAACAAAAATGTTCGTCAGCGCAGATTTACCCGTATGATCCTGCGTGAGTTTGATAGAGATCCGACTACAAGTGTTAGGAGAGTTTCTGGTGCCTTGGGAATTTCAGCAAGCCATGTTCACCGTGTTCTTAGAAATGACCATAGACGTCCTTACCATTTGCAACCTGTGCAAGGACTACAGCCAGGGGACGGAGAACGAAGAATCACATTTTGTCAGTGGATTCTTGATAGAACTGATAATAATAGGGAGTTTTTAAGTAACGTTTTATGGACCGATGAGTCATGCTTCACTAGACGTGGAGTGGTAAATTTCCATAATCAACATATTTGGTCGCATGAAAATCCGCATGCAGTTCGGGAAAGAAATTTTCAGCATGAATTTGGTGTGAACGTGTGGATTGGTATCTACCGTAATCGACTATTTGGACCCTACCTTTTGCCTGCAAGGTTAAATGCTGCGATCTTCTTGGAATTTTTAAAGGCTGAACATGCAAATATGTGGGATGATGTTATGTTAGATTTAAGAAGATTGGCCTGGTTCCAGCTTGATGGTTGTGCAGCTCATTATTCGAGAATAGTTGGAAACTGGCTGGACGAAAATTATCCAGAAAGATGGATCGGCCGTGGAGGACCAGTCGCCTGGCCTCCACGATCCCCTGACCTAAATCCATTAGATTTCTTTGTGTGGGGATTTCACCACAAGAGATATGCTAATAGACAGAATCAGGAATGCATGTGATGAAATAAGGCCTTATTTGAATAATGCTATACCACGTTCGATCATTCGTAGATGTGAATTGTGTATTGAACAATTGGGTTTACATTTCGAGCAACTACTTTAGATTTTGTATGTTTGTCCTAACTATCCAAAAGCTTTTTAGTTGTAAATAATTAATTTAATTTGTTAAAAATAATATCGGAAAATTAAACAAATTAATATTCTGTTTTTTTTGTGTTTATTTGGAGTTAGGAATTATTGCTATGTTTAAAAACACAATCTAAACGATCATCTTAGTTACTTGTAATGCCCAAATCGAAAATATAAAAAAAATATTATTTTCCCATAAATAATTAAAAAAGCATCGAACCCTAAAAATCGAAATATCTCAAAAACGGTCAACTATAATGAAAACTCACAGGAGAGCTTATTTATGTTGAAAAGTGCGAAGAATCAGTTTGTTTATTCAAAAAGCAAAAAATTGCACTAAGAAAAAATGTTCGGTCATTTTAATACACTACAGGTACAGTCGAGAGCGCCCTCTAGCGGCTACAGTAAAATTATGCCCATGGTTCGTTTTGTCGTACCATAAAACCCTTGTATACCAATTTTCACTGTTATACATCAAATATTGTTCGAAATATTTAAAAAAAACTATTTTAGAAAGTAAATTTAAACACCCTGTATTTCGGAACCCACGCATTTTTCGACCCATGTTTATATAGACTTTATGCATTAATTTTAAAAGTTCTATCGAATCTTAAAGTTATGCAACAATAAACTGAAACACCCTGTATACATATAGTGGGAAGAACTTTTACATACGCGTGTTAATGTCAATATTCTCGTCACTAACAACTGATAACTATCACTCCAATTAACAATTAAGATATGATGGACCTGAAGCATTACGGACTTTCCACCTCGCGAGGGACTTTCCGTAAATATACATAACACATAAACCTATTTAAGGACCGGATGATTTTTTTTAATATATTCCACCAAGAGTCCTTCATTCGTATTCCCAGAATTAATAACTGCAATGCTAATTTGCGTATTTAATCCTAGAGTATTGTGGACTTTCCACGTTCAGTAGTTGCAAGAAATTGTTAAGGACTGTATGATTGTTTTCAGAAAATATTCAGCGTCAAAGAATTCAACTAAGAGACCTTTAGAGAATTTTATAAATAAACGGAAATGGTTGTTATTTACTGAAAACTGGTAACACGTACGCGAGCAAATAACCAAATTTTCAAGTTCAAGTTCTGCATTTGCATTGATCGGTGTTTTATTGGCAATTTAGATCGTATAATGTCCGCTTCGTAAGACAAACCAACACGAGCCGTGGAGAATACATTATAATTTTTATAGAATTTATTAATAGTATTTAATCAATGCAATCAAAACGTAATAAAGTCTGATGAATTTAAGGTACCGTGTTCAATTAATATTTTCCATGCCAAAAGCGAAAGCGTGTAGTCATGTAGGTTGAATCGGTATTCTCTACGCATTCGAATGAGCAAATCCGAATTAACACGCAACATGTCCTAAAGAAGGAGTAACAGTAGGGACAACAGCAGTCAAGTTGACGTCATCTACACGGACTTTCCGAAGGCCTTCGATCGAATAAATCATGATGTATTGCTTGGAAAGTTAATCAAATTTGGTTTTTCTAGTGACGCTAGGGACCCTTTTGAATCTTATTTATCTTCGAGGTGGAAATTTGCTTCTTATAATATATTTCGTTCTGATACTTACTTAGCCTCTTCCGGTGTTCCGCAAGGTTCAAATTTGGGTCCTTTGCTGTTCTTGCTATTCATCAATGATTTATGTGAAGATTTGCAGAGTGAGCGTTTATGCTTTGCGGATGATTTGAAACTACATTCCGTTATCAATGATTTGAATGATTGTACTTTCCTTCAGACTCAATTTTACATCCTCCAGCACTGGTGTGATACCAATAAGTTATTTCTTAATGTACTCAAATGTAAAATTATTTATTCTAGGAGGAAAACTACCTATCACTTTATTTACCTGTTAAATGGGCTATCTCTGGAGCGTTGTATCGAAATCAAGGACTTAGGTGTGATTTTTGATTACAAGTTGACATTTGGTAAACATAATGAAACATTAGTTTCACATTCTATACAGTTATATGGATTTGTTGTTAGAAACTGTAGACATTTCTATAACATAAGAACCATTAAGCTACTGTATTTTGCCTTTGTGAGGTCTAAACTGGAGTATGATTGCATAGTTTGGAATCCCTTTTATGAGTGCCAAAAGAGTTGTTTGGAGAAAGTACAGAGAAGATTTTCTAAGCTCTTAGTTTATAAAATTGATGGAATTTACCCAGAAAGGGGTGTTACCAATACCGAGCTATACAGTGGTGTTGACCTTATATCTCTGGAGCAGCGTAGGACTTGCACGATATTGATATTTTTGTTTAAGCTTCTAAATAATCTAATTGGAAAGATCGACATCAGTGTACCGACTTATGCCTCGCGTACTCACTTCACGTTCAGAGCTACAAGGGCAAGAACAAATATACTAAGTGACATATAAATCCGAACACCCAGTTTAAATGGTTTTATTTTAATAAATTTTTTTAATAATGTGTGGATGCACCCAGATGTGCTACGCATTCTCCAACGCGCCTAGGCATGCTTCTAATCAGGTGGTAAATGTCCTCCTGTGGTATCTCATTCCAGGCAACCACCAACTCCTCTCGAAGTGCTTCTAGAGTCTGAGGAGGACGTTGCAAATTGAGCAATCTCCTACCCATCATACCCCACACGTGCTCAATTGGGGATTAATCGGGTGATCTTGGTGGCCATGATAACAATGTGACACCATTATGTTGAAAAAAGTCTATTGTGACTCTTGCAACATGTGGTCGGGCATTATCTTGTTGGAAAGTTGGATCTGCCAGGGTGTCAAGATAGGGTAAAAGATGGGGTTCTAGAACTTCGTGGATATAACGCTGCGCGTTCATGTTACCTCTGATGAAGATTAAAGGTGACCTGGAACCATAAGCTATAGCACCCCAAACCATAACTCCAACAGTGTGATGAACATGTCTTTCAACAAAAAACTGTGGATTCCTCCTTTCACCACGTCGCCTTCTAACCCTGGCACGACCATCGTGCATGCCTAAACAAAATCGAGACTCGTCACTAAAGACAATACTGTTCCATTCCTGGTCCCAGAGTGACCGTTGTCTGCACCACTCAAGGCGATTTCGTCGGTTTTCTCGAGTTAAAGGGAGGACCCAGTGTGGCCGGTATGAAAACAAGCCAAAACTTCTCATTCGTCGGTAAACACTTCGCATGCCAATAGGTCTTCCGTGTTCTGCAAACCATTCATTTGCAATGGACCTGGTAGTGGAGAAACGGTTCTTTAAGGCCAATAATTTTGCACTCTAACTGCAATTGCCCGAAAAGAAAGTCCAGCTTCCCGAAGTCCCACTATACGGCCCCTATCAAACTCACTAAGTTGACGAAATCGTACAGGTATCCGTACTCTAGGCATCGTAACCGATCGTAAAGGATGTCAAGAACCAAAATCCGCCAACGTTGATTCTTTACTGCGGCTGAAATATTCATTTTTAGAGCGTTAGTGAATTAAAAAAAAGCAGTATAAAAACAGGAATGTCCAACTGATAAGGCTGAAAAATTTTTTCACTTGTTATTTACAGTAAGATAAATACATTCACAAACTTTTATTAAAATAAAACCATTTAAACTGGATGCTCAGATTTATATGTCACTTAGTATATTTTGTACTTCTAGCAAAAAATTAGTTAGGATAGCTAATTGATACGTAGGTCAAGTATATACATGAGATACTTTTGTTTTGTTATATCGTTTGTTATGTATCTTTTGTATGGATTTTGTATAATATTGTCCTGTTAATGGGCCACTGCTGGACAATAAAGCTACTATCTATTTATCAAAGCGGTCCACAGAGTAAAACTAAAAAAAAAAGATTTTTCATGGTGAGTTATATTTTTTGAGATAGTTTCATCCCTTTAAAAATCACTTTTGCTTCGTCATAATTTTGCAATTAACGATTTTAATGCTTTTGCAGGTCTTGCAGTAGGATTGGCTTCTGGAGAAGGAGTAACGATAGGGGCACACAGGCTCTATTCTCACAAAACGTTCAAAGCAAGGTTTATATTGCGACTGGGCCTAATTCTCTTACAAACAGTGGCTGGACAGGTAAATATACAACTATATCACCAAATCTTAAATACAGTGCTTTTCAGAAAGCTACTTACTTTTTGAGCGGATCAAGTGGCAGCTGAAATTCGAGAGCAATCAAAAATAAGAGTTGAAAATTTCAAGATGACAGCTGGATGTCAACATCAACGAGAAACTAATTTCCTTACTCCTAATTCTTCATGTAAAATTTTTTGAATTGAGATCTTTGAGATCTTCAAGGACGCCTCAATTTCTCGATATGTCACATGTCTATGTTCAATGATGAGTTTGCGCACAGCATCGACGTTTTCCTGGGTGACTGCCGTTTTTGGTGCACGCACCCTTCGTTGCCGAAAACAGACAGTAACTCAGCAAGGCATTCTTGTTGCGATAATTGTCTCTGAAAGTTGTAATAAATTATGTCGGGAAATGTTCTCGGTTGAGTTCCATTTTTCTAATGATTTGGTAACACTTAAAAATTCACTGTAGTGAGAACACTGCACGTATCGTTGAGAAACTTTGAATTTAAGTTTACTAAAGAGTGAGGTTAAGATTCAATACTGACGATCGATCCGCGCGGCCTACTATGTTTCTATATGCAAAACTTAAAAGACATCCCTCGTACTCGTAGTATAACATCACTATCCTTCCAAATAGGAAACTGGCAGGATGTTAAAGCTCATCGTTTTAGTATGTTATATCATTCTTCTTCTTTTGAAAATGTTTATACAAAAATGTAAAAGATTTCTATTAAAAAAATGTCAGAACCTGTCAAATTTTTTTGAATGGAATATCCCATATTTCATTGCATACTGATAGATAGACCCTTGCAAAAAAGAAGATTGTTATAGTGTTTTGATGATTTATTGTTGAAACATAAGCTACTCAATGTTCAAGAACGCTCAAATTTGACGACTTGTCAGATCGCCATTTTGAAAGATAGTGACTTTATATTCTAGGGTTATGATAAGAAGCTTCAAAATCGCTTTTCACATGACCCCCCCATGCCGATTGAAAAAATGCCTAAGACAGTGCCCCGTCGTCATTCTGAAATTTTCAACTGCCCCCTTTACGCTAAAACATTATATTCAAGCATCAATTTCGTTAACCCATTCAGAAAATAAGTAAAGAGGGAGCTTTTGGAAAACCACTCAAGTTCGCTAGCATTATACTACGCAGAATATTAATTACTCGAGACGGCTTTGGAAAATTAGGTGTCATGTGTCATTTTTCAAAAATCGCTTTTTTGCATTAAACTAATCTTAAGGAGTGATTCTCTAATTCTGTGATTACTTTGTTGCAAAAAAAGATGATAAACTAATTAAACTAAGTATTTAAAATTTCGATATGTAAAAAGTCCCAATAGAATTTTCTCCATTCAATGATTTTGTTACATGTCACGTTTATTCACTTGTGTCCTGCATCATTGGTAGTTACTAAAGACTGTAATACTATGTCATTTCAATGGTATCTATATATATTCTTAATTTTGTACAATTCCTCTACATTGCGATAAATCTCTGAAATAAATAATGAAACTATTTAGAACTAGTTAGATATTGTTCTTGGTTCCGCTGTATTAGATTTATTGCAGTTACAGCTATTATAACAGATATGTAGACAAAACCGTGGAAAAGAATGTGTTTCTTAGTATTTAATACAATTTTCGAATATATACGCCACTGGTTTTGCCGAAATATCCGCCCTTTTTACAAAACCATCTGCTAGTCCATTTATACGTTATGACAAACATATTTATATATTTGTTAATAACGGGTGATTTTTTAAGAGGTTTAGGATTTGATTTTAAAAAAAAAGACAAAAAATTTGAAAAAACGATTAAATCTTTATTTGAGTCGATAGAACGGTCGATATAATTTAATGTTTTCATGTAAATGTTGGCCGCGGCTCCGCTTTAGATGGCCCATGCGCAAGGTCCAATTTTGGCACACTCTCTCCAACATATCGGCCGGTATCTCACGAATAAATGCTTCGATATTGGCTTCCAGTGCGTCAATCGTTGCTGGTTTATCCCTGTAGACATTAGCCTTAACATGGCCCCACAAGAAATAGTCCAACGGCGCTAAATCACACGATCTAGGCGGCCAATTGACGGACCCCAAACGTGAGATTAACTGTTCACCGAACTCGCCTCTCAATAGGGCCATTGTTTCGTGTGCGGTGTGGCATGTGGCACCGTCTTGTTGAAACCACATGTCAGCCAAGTCCAGCTCTTCCATTTTGGGCAAAAAAAAGTTTGTCATCATCGCACTGTAGCGCTCGCCATTCACAGTTCCGTTCCGGCCATTGTCGTCTTTGAAGAAGTACGGCCCGATGATGCCACCGGCCCATAATCCACACCAAACAGTGATTTTTTCGGGATGCATTGGTAGCTCTTGCAAAGCTTCTGGCTGGTCTTCACTCCAGATTTGGCAATTTTCCTTGTTAACGTACCCATTCAACCAGAAATGAACACAATTTTTCGATAAGAATGTGGATCTTCCTCCAACTTTGCCAGCGCCCATTTACCAAATTGGAAACGTTGTGGGAGGTCGTGTGGCTTCAATTCTTGCACCAGCTGTATCTTATAAGGTTTTACACCCAAATCCTGTCGCAAAATTTTCCACGTAGTGGAGTAACAGAGGCCCAATTGCTGCGAACGGCGGCGAATCGACATTTCACGGTCATCACTAACACTGGCGGATACAGCCGCAATATTTTCTTCAGTCCTCACTCTACGTCTGCGTGTTGGTGGTTTAATGTCCAATAATGTAAACTGGGTTCGAAATTTAGTCACAAGCTTCCGAATGGCTCCCTACTGACTTGATTCATAAGTTTGTGTTACACATGTTCGAAGCTAACTTTTTTCTGAGAAAGGTTAACTTGTGCTGGACATAATTTATAATATAGAATTGTTTACCTACTCTATTCTACATTTAAATAAGTCGAAAAAAATTGGAAATTAAAATCGCCACATGTGGCCTATCGAATAAAAAACATTTACTGTTGAGAGACATCAGAATGTAATCATATGAATGTAACATTTGAAGACTTGGCAACGTTGCACATAGCAGTCAATTAAGGTATAAGCTAACTATCTAAATAAAAATATATTTCTTAGTAAAAAATTTCAGAAATTTCATATTTGCCCTCATTTTTTGTCTCATTTCTTTCATCTACCGTCAGGACCAAAATCATTTTTTCTTCAAAAACGGCTGGTGTAGCCAAGGTAGAGTTTTATAGCAACAAAATTTCATGTCGCAAAATCATAGTACATTTAGCTATTATCGTATACTTGAACTTATCGTACAAATACAATAATTATCGTACGTCTGGCAACGCTGTACCGTGGAGCTGTGAGAGTCAATCGTCATCGACAGGAGATCAGTCATAGCAATGTTCATGTGCGCTCTCAGAAATTTTTCTTAGCGGGAAGGGAGGATCATTTATCGGAAGAGATAACTTTGTGTGAGAGCTTACCTGCCACAAAACTTTTCAAATCCCCTAAATTGAACGCAAAAGACAAAATATGCAAATTTTAATTGTGTGAGCCTGTTTGACCGACTTGATTCATAAGTTTGTGTTACACATGTTCGACGCTAACTTTTTTCTGAGAAAGGTTAACTTGTGCTGAACATAATTTATAATATAGAATTGTTTACCTACTCTATTCTACATCTAAATAAGTCGAAAAAAATTGGAAATTAAAATCGCCACATGTTGTCTATCGAATAAAAAACATTTACTGTTAAGAGACATCAGAATGTAATCATATGAATGTAACATTTGAAGACTTGGCAACGTTGCACATAGCAGTCAATTAAGGTATAAGCTAACTATCTAAATAAAAACCTATTTCTTAGTAAAACATTTCAGAAATTTCATATTTGCCCTCATTTTTTGTCTCATTTCTTTCATCTACTCTCAGGAACTAAAATCATTTTTCTTCAAAAACGGCCGGTGTAGCCAAGCTAGAGTTTTATAGCAAAAAAATTTCATTTCGCAAAATCATCGTACATTCAACTATTATCGTATACTTGAACTTATCGTACAAATACGATAATTATCATACGTCTGGCAACGCTGTACCGTTGAGCTGTGGGAGTCAATCGTCATCGACAGGAGATGAGTCATAGCAATGTTCATGCGCGCTCTCGCTCTCAGAAACTTTTCTTAGGGGGAAGGGAGGATTATTTATCGGAAGAGATAACTTTGTGTGAGAGCTTACCTGCCACAAAACTTTTCAAATCCCATTAAATTGAACGCAAAAGACAAAATATGCAAATTTTAATTGTGTGAGCCTGTTTGACCGACTTGATTCATAAGTTTGTGTTACACATGTTCGAAGCTAACTTTTTTCTGAGAAAGGTTAACTTGTGCTGGACATAATTTATAATATAGAATTGTTTACCTACTCTATTCTAGATTTAAATAAGTCGAAAAAAATGGAAATTAAAATCGCCACATGTTGCCTATCGAATAAAAAACATTTACTGTTAAGAGACATCAGAATGTAATCATATGAATGTAACATTTGAAGACTTGGCGGCGTTGCACATAGCATATTTGCCCTCATTTTTTGTCTCATTTCTTTCATCTACCCTCCGGAACTAAAATCATTTTTTCTTCAAAAACGGCTGGTGTAGCCAAGCTAGAGTTTTATAGCAAAAAAATTTCATTTCGCAAAATCATCGTACATTCAACTATTATCGTATACTTGAACTTATCGTACAAATACGATAATTATCGTACGTCTGGCAACGCTGTACCGTGGAGCTGTGAGAGTCAATCGTCATCGACAGGGGATCAGTCATAACAATGTTCATGCGCGCTCTCAGACATTTTTCTTAGGGGGAAGGGAGGATCATTTATCGGAAGAAATAACTTTGTGTGAGAGCTTACCTGCCACAAAACTTTTCAAATCCCCTAAACTGAACGCAAAAGACAAAATATGCAAATTTTAATTATGTGAGCCTGTTTGACCGACTTGATTCATAAGTTTGTGTTACACATGTTCGAAGCTAACTTTTTTCTGAGAAAGGTTAACTTGTGCTGGACATAATTTATAATACAGAATTGTTTACCTACTCTATTCTACATTTAAATAAGTCGAAAAAGATTGGAAATTAAAATCGCCACATGTTGCCTATCGAATAAAAAACATTTACTGTTACGAGACATCAGAATGTAATCATATGAATGTAACATTTGAAGACTTGGCAACGTTGCACATAGCAGTCAATTAAGGTATAAGCTAACTATCTAAATAAAAACCTATTTCTTAGTAAAACATTTAAGAAATTTCATATTTGCCCTCATTTTTTGTCTCATTTCTTTCATCTACCCTCCAGAACTAAAATCATTTTTTCTTCAAAAACGGCTGGTGTAGCCAAGCTAGAGTTTTATAGCAAAAAAAATCATTTCGCAAAATTATCGTACATTTAGCTATTATAGTATTCTTGAACTTATCGTACAAATACGATAATTATCGTACGTCTGGCAACGCTGTACCGTGGAGCTGTGAGAGTCAATCGTCATCGACAGGAGATCAGTCATAGCAATATTCATGTGCGCTCTCAGAAATTTTTCTTAGGGGGAAGGGAGAATCACTTATCGGAAGAGATAACTTTGTGTGAGAGCTTACCTGCCACAAAACTTTTCAAATCCCCTAAATTGAACGCAAAAGACAAAATATGCAAACTCTAATTGTGTGAGCCTGTTTGACCGACTTGATTCATAAGTTTGTGTTACACATGTTCGAAGCTAACCTTTTTCTGAGAAAGGTTAACTTGTGCTGGACATAATTTATAATATAGAATTGTTTACCTACTCTATTCTACATTTAAATAAGTCGAAAAAAATTGGAAATTAAAATCGCCACATGTTGTCTATCGAATAAAAAACATTTACTGTTAAGAGACATCAGAATGTAATCATATGAATGTAAGATTTGAAGACTTGGCAACGTTGCACATAGCAGTCAATTAAGGTATAAGCTAACTATCTAAATACAAATATATTTCTTAGTAAAACATTTCAGAAATTTCATATTTGCCCTCATTTTTTGTCTCATTTCTTTCATCTACCGTCAGGAACTAAAATCATTTTTTCTTCAAAAACGGCTGGTGTAGCCAAGCTAGAATTTCATAGCAAAAAGATTTCATTTCGCAAAATCATCGTACATTTAACTATTATCGTATACTTGAACTTATCGTACAAATACAATAATTATCGTACGTCTGGCAACGCTGTACCGTGGAGCTGTGGGAGTCAATCGTCATCGACAGGAGATGAGTCATAGCAATGTTCATGCGCGCTCTCAGAAACTTTTCTTAGGCGGAAGGGACGATTATTTATCGGAAGAGATAACTTTGTGTGAATGCTTACCTGCCACAAAACTTCTCAAATCCCCTAAATTGAACGCAAAAGACAAAATATGCAAATTTTAATTTTGTGAGCCTGTTTGAACGACTTGATTCATAAGTTTGTGTTACACAGGTTCGAAGCTAACTTTTTTCTGAGAAAGGTTAACTTGTGCTGGACGTAATTTATAATATAGAATTGTTTACCTACTCTATTCTACATCTAAATAAGTCGAAAAAAATGGAAATTAAAATCGCCACATGTTGCCTATCGAATAAAAAACATTTACTGTTAAGAGACATCAGAATGTAATCATATGAATGTAAGATTTGAAGACTTGGCAACGTTGCACATAGCAGTCAATTAAGGTATAAGCTAACTGTCTAAATAAAAACCTATTCGTAGTAAAACATTTCAGAAATTTCATATTTGCCCTCTTTTTGTGCCTCATTTCTTTCATCTACCCTCCGGAACTAAAATCATTTTTTCTTCAAAAACGGCTGGTGTAGCCAAGCTAGAGTTTTATAGCAAAAAAATTTCATTTCGCAAAATCATCGTACATTTACCTATTATTGTATACTTGAACTTATCGTACAAATACGGTAATTATCGTACGTCTGGCAACGCTGTACCGTGGAGCTGTGAGAGTCAATCGTCATGGACAGGGGATCAGTCATAGCAATGTTCATGTGCGCTCTCAGAAATTTTTCTTAGGGGGAAGGGAGGATCATTTATCGGAAGAAATAACTTTGTGTGAGAGCTTACCTGCCACAAAACTTTTCAAATCCCCTAAATTGAACGCAAAAGACAAAATATGCAAGCTAACTTTTTTATTAGAGAGGCTAAATTGTGCTGGACCTAATTATTAATGAACTGATGACAGCATTGCGTAAGAAGTATAGAGTCAACCTGCTTGACGGCATTTTTTATTATAGAACTGTTTATACGTTTGGGTAAGAGATCACAGACAACACCACAAATATAGCGACACCGACGCAGATCCGCATAATGCGAACAGAGGCTTCTTCTTTTCTCACATAGGCTGGCTGATGAGCAAAAAGCATCCTGCTGTCATTGAGAAGGGAAAAACTATCGATATGTCCGATTTGGAAGCTGACTGGTTGGTGATGTTCCAGAAAGAGTAAGTAATATTATGGTAAAGTAATACAAAAGGACTGTCTCTTGGATGCTTTGAACATAGTGTATAGTACCAGTAAAATAACTCTAATTTTGGAAATACTTGCAATTGTGAAACTTTCTATGTTAGTTAGCTAAATGCGCAGCTTCGTCCCAATCCAAGATCTCAATGCTGATAGTCGAATTTGAAACAACCGGTATTTAAGGTACTGAAGACGATCCTAATATGATCCTATTATGATACTCTATAGTCCCCCAAATCTCATGATTCATGTAACCATATAAAGAAAACTAATTCACGAATTGCATTTTTGTAGGTACTACAAGCCCCTCTACGTAATCTTTGCTATAGCTATACCGGTTGCTATACCAGTGTGGCTTTGGAACGAAACTTACTACAACTCGTTCTTCGTGTGCTACATGTTCAGGAACATCCTGGTACTCAACGTCACGTGGTGTGTCAATAGCTTGGCGCATTTGTATGGAACCAAACCCTTTGATAAGTAAGTTTGATTTGGTGATGTCATCTGGCCGCCAAGGTCATCGGATTTAACCGCTCCTGACTTTTTTTATGGGAATTTTTGAAATATACCTAGGGCTTATGCTGACAAACCACATACTGTAGAGCGGCTGAAGAACAATATTACGGGAGCGATTGAAAATATTCCTCCCGAAACCTACAAAAAGGTGAAGGAAAATGTAATCAAGGGCTCAGGTTTGCGGGGCTTCTAGAGGCGGACATTTTCCTGACAGTATTTTTCATACACAATTTCTAATAAGAGATTAAGATTTAAAAATGGACGTATTTTATTTCATTTAAAAAATATTCAAGTTACAAACCAGTCAGTTACATATCGGTTACTCTGTACAACGTAGGAAAAACAATAAAAGAGAAATAGAACCTTTCAAAACTTCACAACAAGTCATGATGGTAAACTACACAGAGTAAAATGACAAATCATGAGTTGTGGACCTACAGATGATTAGCTACACTATACAGGGTGTTTCAGTTTATTGTTGCATAACTTTAAGATTCGATAGAACTTTTAAAATTAATGCATAAAGTCTATATAAACATGGGTCGAAAAATGCGTGGCTTCCGAAATACAGGGTGTTTAAATTTACTTTTTAAAATAGTTTTTTTAAATATTTCGAACAACATTTGATGTATAACAGTGAAAATTGGTATACAAGAGTTTTTTGGTACAAAACAAACCATGGGCATAGTCTCACTGTAGCCGCTAGAGGGCGCTCTCTACTGTACCTGTAGTGTATTAAAATGACCGAAAAATTTTTCTTAGTGCAATTTTTTCCTATTTGAATAAAAAAACTGATTCTTCGCACTTTTCTGCATAAAAAAGGTTTCCTGTGGGTTTTCGTTATAGTTAGCCGTTTTTGAGATATTTCGATTTTTAAGGTTCGATGCATTTTTAATTATTTATGGGAAAATAATATTTTTGTTATACTTTCGATTTGGGCATTACAAGTAATTAAGATGATCGTTTAGATTGTGTTTTTAAACACAGCAATAATTCCTAACTCCAAATAAACACAAAAAAACAGAATATTAATTTGTTTAATTTTCCAATATTATTTTTAACAAATTAAATTAGCTATTTACAACTAAAATGCTATTGGATAGTTAGGACAAACATACAAAAACTAAAGTAGTTGCTCGAAATGTAAATCCAATTGTTCAATACACAATTCACATCTACGAATGATCGAACGTGGTATAGCATTATTCAAATAAGGCCTTATTTCATCACATGCATTCCTGATTATGTCTATTAGCATATCTCTTGTGGTTACGGGAGTCTGGTACACTTTTTCATTTAGAAATCCCCACACAAAGAAATCTAATGGATTTAGGTCAGGGGATCGTGGAGGCCAGGCGACTGGTCCTCCACGGCCGATCCATCTTTCTGGATAATTTTCGTCCAGCCAGTTTCTAACTATTTTCGAATAATGAGCTGGACAACATTCAAGCTGGAACCAGGCCAATCTTCTTAAATCTAACATAACATCATCCCACAAATTTGCATGTTCAGCGTTTAAAAATTCCAAGAAGGTCGCAGCATTTAACCTTGCAGGCAAAAGGTAGGGTCCAAATAGTCGATTACGGTAGATACCAATCCACACGTTCACACTAAATTCATGCTGAAAATTTCTTTCCCGAACTGCATGCGGATTTTCTTGCGACCAAATATGTTGATTATGAAAATTTACCACTCCACGTCTAGTGAAGAATGACTCATCGGTCCATAAAACGTTACTTAAAAACTCCCTATTATTATCAGTTCTATCAAGAATCCACTGACAAAATGTGATTCTTCGTTCTCCGTCCCCTGGCTGTAGTCCTTCCACAGGTTGCAAATGGTAAGGACGTCTATGGTCATTTCTAAGAACACGGTGAACATGGCTTGCTGAAATTCCCAAGGCACCAGAAACTCTCCTAACACTTGTAGTCGGATCTCTATCAAACTCACGCAGAATCATACGGGTACATCTGCGCTGACGAACATTTATGTTTTGATCCCTTTGGAGATTTCCAAAACCATTTTCAATTATTTGGCGATGCACTCTTACAAATACTGAGCGACTTGGATGTCGTCTGTTTGGAAATCTTCGTGCGTATTCTCTGGCTGCTTCTGCTGCGTTTCCATTTACAAAGCCATACACAAAATGAATATCCGCTAACTCTTGATTGGAGAATAAAAATGGCATTTTATAAAACTTACAAAAAACTGGTAAAAGAAACAAAATTTCGTGCATTCGCAATTGCAAAAAAACGTTTTAGGTTTCAACAGACAACAAAACTAACTGTCAACTAATTGACGTTTAACCTTATTCTGCTTTCAATTTCAAAAATATTTGCAGGCACAGCCTATATGTACTTCTAAAAATTATCGAATACTGACTTTTTAACGTTATTTTATCATAAATAATTAAAAATGCGTCGAGCCTTAAAAATCGAAATATCTCAAAAACGGCTAACTATAACGAAAATTCACAAGAGAGCTTTTTATGTTGAAAAGTGCGAAGAATCAGTATTTTATTCCAAAAGCAAAACATTGCACTAAGAAAAAATTTTCGGTCATTTTAATACACTACAGGCACAGTAGAGAGCGCCCTCTAACGGCTACAGTAAAACTATGCCCATGGTTCGTTTTGTCGTACCAAAAAACCCCTGTATGCCAATCTTCACTGTTATACATCAAATATTGTTCGAAATATTTAAAAAAACTATTTTAGAAAGTAAATTTAAACACTCTGTATTTCGGAAGCCACGCATTTTCCGACGCATGTTTATATAGACTTTATGCATTAATTTGAAAAGTTCTATCGAATCTTAAAATTATGCAACAATAAACTGAAACACCCTGTAAATATCAGTGGCGAAGCGTCCATGTAACCATTGTTACCATTGGTAACAGTTAGAAATCTTATATTTTATGACTAAGTACTGTGGCATAATTTCATTTATTTGTTTAGTAACAGCGATGTGTAATAGTAATTCGGTAAATAGCAAATTAGCCCCACGAAAATATTGCGCCCTATAGTGTCTAGGTTTTGCGAACACGATGAAGCTGACTCGCCTCGGCTTGCCTGTCGATTGTTACCATTTTCATTTATGGATACACTTGGTAGTCCGTCGGGGACCGTCGGTACCGGCTCGTGTCTGATCGCGGTCGCCCGAGTGCGTGGGGCGCTGCGACTATTATGTGGGCTTGTTACCATTTTTTGATTTAGTTACTCACTTGCTCACTTCTCACTCGTTAGTAGCCGTTTTGGTTATCGGCTGTAGTGTGCGCATTATGGATGAGTGTCGCTGCGTAATCGATCAACTACTTGAAAAGTCATTCTCCTTGTATAATTTTTAAGAAAAAAAGGATATAATTGAAAATGGAAGACCAACACCTATTTTAGATGATTTTAAAAAGGAATAAAAAACGCAGTTTGATATTCTAACTTAAGTTGGTATATGGAAACTCTTAGTTATGTGGTTGCAAAAAAACAGATTGTATTGTTGGCGATGTCTTCTGTTTTATACAGAAAAAAATGGGTGGACCAGCAGCGGAGTCAACGATTTAAGTAGTTTTAGGGCTCTAAAGCGGAGACACGAAATTTCTCCGTTACAAGGGGGGATATGTAGCCAATTTAATTCATTTTGGCAAAACAAGAATCGAAAGTTGTTTTAACCAATCTTTTAGGCAGCACACTTCTAGATACCGTATGTTTTTTGGCAAAACAGGAATTACCGTTTATTTTGAAGGGGATGACTCTGACAATAGAGGAAATTACAGGGAATTGTTAACATTCATTGCCAAAAAAGATCAAAAATCTAGAAACGACGACTGTTTTTTCGGACGGCTTGGATTAGTCATAGCATAAGCCGATGAGGTATATCAAGTGCCCCAGACGCTCAGTCCGGGAACGTTTACCTTAATTTAAAAATAGTTTAAGTAAAATACCTAAAATAAGCAAAAGCTTATATTTGGGAGGTTCAAAATAAACTTTTTTGGATAAGATTTTTCCCATCTGGTTTTGGTAACAGTTTAGGAAAAGTTACGCGTCGCCACTGATAGTTAGCAGTCTGTTCTGTGATTTCTGGTATCATCGTTAAAAGCTCCATCTGATTGTTGCGCGGAACACTAATACGTAACAAACAAAACTGAAGCGACGATTGTTTACAGTATTCTGATCAGTGACACTTGCCCCATCTGTTATCGTCTTATCAAAAATTTTGAATCCAATTCAATTTCATAGTTTGCAATATTTCCAAATATACTAAGTGACATATAAATCCGAACACCCAGTTTAAATGGTTTTATTTTAATAAAAGTTGGTGAATGTATTTATCTTACTGTAAATAACAAGTGAACAAATTTTCAGCCTTATCAGTTGGACATTCCGGTTTTTATACTGCTTTTTTTTAATTCACTAACGCTCTAAAAATGAATATTTCAGCCGCAGTAAACAATCAACGTTGGCGGATTTTGGTTCTTGACATCCTTTACGATCGGTTACGATGCCTAGAGTACGGAGACCTGTACGATTTCGTCAACTTAGTGAGTTTGATAGGGGCCGTATAGTGGGACTTCGGGAAGCTGGACTTTCTTTTCGGGCAATTACAGTTAGAGTGCAAAGAAGTGTAGACACTGTGGTTAGGTGTGATCAGGCATGGCTTCGAGAAGGCCGTACGCAAAGAGCAAGGGGCACTGGACGCCGCCGTAGAACAACAGACCGTGAAGATCGCCGCCTAAGATTATTGGCCTTAAGGGACCGTTTCTCCACTACCAGGTCCATTGCAAATGAATGGTTTGCAGAACACGGAAGACCTATTGGCATGCGAAGTGTTTACCGACGAATGAGAAGTTTTGGCTTGTTTTTATACCGGCCACACTGGGTCCTCCCTTAAACTCAAGAACACCGACGTAATCGCCTTGAGTGGTGCAGACAACGGTCACTCTGCGATCACGAATGGAACAGTATTGACTTTAGTGACGAGTCTCGATTTTGTTTAGGCATGCACGATGGTCGTGCCAGGGTTAGAAGGCGACGTGGTGAAAGGAGGAATCCACAGTTTTTTGTTGAAAGACATGTTCATCACACTGTTGGAGTTATGATTTGGGGTGCTATAGCTTATAGTTCCAGGTCACCTGTAATCTTCATCAGAGGTAACATGAACGCGCACCGTTATATCCACGAAGTTCTAGAACCCCATCTTTTACCCTATCTTGACACCCTGGCAGATCCAACTTTCCAACAAGATAATGCCCGACCACATGTTGCAAGAGTCACAATAGACTTCTTTCAACATAATGATGTCACATTGTTACCATGGCCACCAAGATCTCCGGACTTATCCCCAATTGAGCACGTGTGGGATATGATGGGTAGGAGATTGCTCAATTTGCAACGTCCTCCTCAGACTCTAGAAGCACTTCGAGAGGAGTTGGTGGTTGCCTGGAATGAGATACCACAGGAGGACATTGACCACCTAATCAGAAGCATGCCTAGGCGCGTTGGAGAATGCGTGCATCCACACATTATTAAAGGTCAAAGAGCTTTAAATCAGTGCAATCAATTTGCAATTTTTATCATTTACTTATTATGCTTCATTAAGTACTTATACAAAATTTTATTAAAATAAAACCATTTAAACTGGGTGTTCGGATTTATATGTCACTTAGTATAGATACATCATAAAATAGATCAACACAAAATAGTTCTTCGAAGATATGTAACTCAGTCACATTTGAAATACAAAATCAACAGCCTCGACGCCATTATTAGACCAAACAAAAGCAAGACAAACTATACCTACTTGCTTATTAAAGCTAGTCACACACCTTGACACTTTAAAAAAATACAAAATATTTATGAAGATGGCTAGTGCGTCTGTACACAAATGTAGGTCTTTTATAAAATAGGAACTGTGTGTATATTATACATGGTGCTTTCAAAGTTGAGTTATTTATTTTAACTGCTTATACCAAAAATTACCTATATAAAAGTTGCATAATAAAAGAAATAGTAAAAGATTAAAATTGAATGTTATTACGAGTAAACAGATTTTTTGATGTTCTTGACTACTGCCACTGACCAAGATTTTATTTCCGAAGCTTGTAAAGATTCGAGGATTCGCCGAGCAAAATGTTGCGTTAATCGAACCAAAGGGGACAATTTTGAACTGTTTTTGTAAAAACGATATCCATTTAACTTGATAATGATTTTTTTAAATACAGCTGACGCTCGATAATGTAACTAATTTAATCCAAGTGTGGTTCACATTATCGAAATGTTTACATTAGCGAACGTGATTTATATAATGTTTGATTTCTTAAAAGAAACGTTTAATACATACTATTTATAACAAAATAAACAAATATTCTAACAGCGATAAGTATTTTTTTAATTAGAAGAAAAATAATTATCAATTTTTGTCTGCGTAAATTTGCGCTTAGCATTGTCTTCCAATGAATGCGCCCGTAATTTACGAAGAACTAAAATATCCGTTTATGAAACTTCTTTTCTTTCAGCCCAATCTAAAGCTTGGTTAAAAACTTGTATAGCTTGCGCGTCAGTCACTACACTTCTGACTTCAATGGGATCGTTCTCATCATCCTCACTGTCCATATACCTCGTCCTTATCAGCATCATTCGTCTGCTTATCTTCGTTCCATAAATTAATATCAGCAGGAGTACAAACAATGTTGGGATTCACTGTTTTCAATAAATCAACAACATCCAATGACACACTAATAACATTATCATTATTGGATCGCAAACGTTCTCTAATTACGCTTAAGGGGACATCGTCTTCTTCATCATCTTCATTATTGGTACAAAAGAGATTGTTCCAACATTTTTGAATAGTTTGCTGGTTAAGTTCATTCCAGGCCATATGTAAATCTAAAACAGCTTCTCGTAATGTTACTTTTTTTAAAGCCTCAGATAAGTTTTCAGGATTCTTTGATAAGACAGACGAAAGTAGAAACTTCCTATAGTATAGTTTGGTGAGTCTTATTATATTCTGGTCCATCGGTTGAATTAACGGTGTTACGTTGGGCGGCATGTAGATGACGAAAATTGACCCATCCCTGCTCCTCAGTTGTTGCTCGGGAGGATGACTTGGTGCATTATCCAATAGTAACAATGCTTTTATTGGAAGCTTCTGTTGTTTTAGGAAACCTTTTACCTACAAATTGAAAACACATCTTCAAATTATGAATAGAGCATTTGTGATAATTGACTGTCATACCTGAGGAACAAAGCACCTGTGGAACCATTTCAGGAATATACTGCTAGTCATCCAAGCGGTTTTTGAACAGTCATAATCAACAGGGATATTAACATTTTTAAATGAGCGCGGCTTTTTTGCTTTCCCAATTACCAGTGGCTTTATTTTGTGTGAACCATTAGCATTAGTGCATGCTAGAAACGTTATTCGTTGTTTCTCCGGCTTTCTTCCCGGGGCAGATTTTTCAAATGATGCAGCATAGGTGTTCTATGGTAACATTTTCCAATAAAGGCCACTTTCATCTGCGTTGTAAATTTGTTCCATTCTTAAATCTAGCTCGGTAATTGTTTTCATCAATTTTTCTTTGAATGGTTTCACCAATTGTGGTTGTGCTGATAATTTTTCACCAGATATAGACAGCAGTCGAATTCCATATCTTGTTTTGAATCGTTGTAGCCGACCATCACTAGCTACGAAATTTTCAGTTTCTTTCAGTTTTATATTTAACAGTATCGCTCTCTGTTTAAGTACTTCGCCACTAACTGGGACATGATTTTCCCGTTGTTTGAAAAACCACTTATACAGGGAATCTTCCATTTTAGGTGCCTTCGCATTTTTTATAGTTTTTCTTTTTCCCGGACCTCCAAATGTATTGCACGTTCTTTGTAAAATTTGAGTTTTCGTATGCTTAATTTTACAGATTGTTGCTTTCGATACTCCATATTTTTTTGCTAACTGTGTCACTCCCGCACCTAGTGCAACTTCGTCTATGATTTTCACTTTCTCACTCAAATTTTAAACACTTTCTATTATAGGATGTGGATGCCATAGTCGTAAAATATATTAACGCGTGCAATGTATTCACTTAAGTTCAAAAATGAAATACATACGTACGTATAAACGTATCCTAAACGATCATACGACTGACCGAGTTTGTCGTATTTTATCGCAGAGGTGAATCCCCTACACTCTACATCATAAATCGGGGACTCCCCGACGCCCGACATAAATCATCGAGGCTTCAGCATTTTACCGTCGCGCTGTTTCCGTGCGCCGAGAGTTGTTTACGTTATCGAGCGTACACATTGTTTACGTTATCGCGCGTTCCGTTTGATCCTATAGAACGAAGTTTGTGTTTACCTTAGCGCAAGTTTTCATTATCCCGTGTTTACGTTACCGAGCGTCAGCTGTAATTAATAATTCAAAGTACTTCTCTTATTATTCAACTTTTATATAGGTTATTTTTAATATATGAACTTCTTTTGAAGAGTTCTGCAAGCTGTTAAAATAAATGACTCAACTTTGATGTTGTATGTGCTTGTGATGTTATATTAACGTAAATGACCGAAAGACAATACAAACAAAGATGCATATTCCCTATTGGGTATCTTCTGGTGAACAATGTTAGATACTACGAATCGGTAGTATAAAACAAACTTTTTCAGGTTTATCCTCCCGGTAGAATCCCAGTTTGTGGCGTTCATCGCGATCGGCGAAGGTTGGCATAACTACCATCACGCTTTCCCATGGGACTACAGAGCAGCAGAATTGGGTTCCAAATATAACGTCACGACCTTCATCATCGACGTCCTTAACTACTTTAACTTGGCTTACGATCTGAGAAGTGCTCCGTACAAGATGATCGAGAAACGAGCTCTGAGGACTGGAGATGGAACACACCAGGTAAAGTTCTACAAAAAAACTATACATGATGTTCTTATAGTTCAGACTTTTTTTACACATCGTATAGTTATTGTAAAACAAGACATCTGAGTCATTATATTCTGTAAAATTCAGCGATCTCAAAACCAGCACTGTTTCCTACAAACGATTAGGAGAACAGGTTCGACGGCTGACAGTATCCAAACAAGGCGTCGCGCGCCGTGCAGGTAAACAGAGCTGTTTGTTCATAAACCGGATTCGAAAATAGCGAAAATGGCACATTCCTATATCAACAACGAATTTGACGCTAGTTGATGCGATTGTCTTCAAGATAACACATCACGGTCTCCAATCTGTAAGATCAATCCGATTTGCTGTTGACAGCACCCTACACGCAGAAATTTAGAGTGCCAGGCTGATCCCTGCCGGTGAGCTAGAGAGAAGAAGACCACCAGTGACTTCTTCTCAGACGAAAGATTTTTTTGTAGCGATGCCCCGGTGTTGAGGCTTATGCCTACGCTGCTGGTTCGGTAAAAAGATATACTAAATATCATATAAAATGCAACAAATTGAATTTTGATAAAAACTGGTAAGCATATTTGCTATCATGGATGTATACGCTGATAAAATGTTGAAGGCTTTCCGAGCCGTACTTTTCTTGTAAAGGTTTTTTTTTGTCATATTAGGATCCAAAGAATATGAACATGTTTACTGAATACTCAGTAATTTTATCGTGTTGGTTCCATTTCTTCAATGCTGTTTCATTGCATTATCATGCCTAGAGTTTCCCAGAGTTTGAAAGCGGTCCGATAATCGAATTTTCTTTAGGAGAGATCGCTAATCCGGTGAATCGAAACGAAGCTACTGTAATGAGATGTTGTCAAGCGTGGTTCCAAGAAGCTCGAATTCAATAAGTTAGGGCTACTAGACGTCAAAGATAGACTACAGAGCGACATGATCGACTTCCTGAACATCACTCACCCTGCTTCAGAGGTAGTTCTCGGTGATTTCAATGCCCATAATGAGCTTTGGCTGGGCTTAAACAAGACCGATGCAGCAGGTCGTGTAGTCGAAGCGTTCGCTCTTACTCAAGGGCTGACCCAGCTGGTGACGAGCCCTACTTTTTTCCCTGCGTCTCGTCACATGCCAGTGGACTGCTAGATCTCTTTCTGACCACGCATCCTGTCCCTTACAGCACTGCTGTCCTGGCCCCACTGGGTAACTCAGACCACGGTATTATGGAGGATAGGTTTCGGCCAGAACCCGCTGTGGCAGCAGAAACTCGTACAGGCCGCAAAACCTGGCATTACGGACATGCCGACTGGGAGGGGCTCAGAGACTTCTACTCTATCTACTCTCCCAGAAAAGCTTTGCAGATGGGTGGCTGACTTTATCTCTGGCCGCAAGATGTCCGTTGTTATTGACGGGTTCTCCTCTTCATCCCACAACGTCAACGCGGGTGTTCCTCAGGGATCGGTCTTGGCACCGACACTGTCCCTCTTACACATCAACGACCTCCTTTCCTGCACGATCAACCCAATCCACAGCTTCGCTGATGACAGCACTCTACATGCAGGAATTCAGAGTGACAAGTCGAACAAGGGCACTTGCGAACCAGTGGTTTGTCGGAAGGGCCATAACAGTGAGGACACTTTATCGCCGAATAAGGTTTTCTTTTGGACTGTTATCATTCTGTCCTCATTTTGTACTACCTCTGACCCCACAGCGTCGTCGGCAACGATTGGAATGGAGTAGGGAGAGACTTGAACGGAATATGGAATGGAACTCAGTCGTGTTCAATACATTCTTAACATTAAGGTGGGGTATATCAGATATTTTGCGAAATTTCGAGTGAAACTTTTAATCACTTTCTTTTTATCAGTAGTTCTAAAACTTGTAAAAGTATGCTCAAAATTACAGAACTCCTAACCGGTGTTGCATTTTCTATGTTATTTAGAATATTACTGATGCTTCATCAGTGTATTTAACGGGTGATTTTTTAAGAGGTATAGGATTTGATTTAAAAAGAAACACAAAAAATTTGAAAAAACGATTAAATCTTTATTTGAGTCGATAGAACGGTCGATATAATTTAATTTATTTAATTTATTTCATGTAAATGTTGGCCGCGGCTCCGCTTTAGATGGCCCATGCGCAAGGTCCAATTTTGGCACACTCTCTCCAACATATCGGCCGGTATGTCACGAATAAATGCTTCAATATTGGCTTCCAGTGCGTCAATCATGGCTGGTTTATCCCTGTAGACATTAGCCCACAAGAAATAATCCAACGGCGTTAAATCACACGATCTAGGCGGCCAATTGACGGGCCCCAAACGTGAGATAAACTGTTCACCGAACTCGCCTCTCAATAGGGCCATTGTTTCGTGTGCGGTGTGGCATGTGGCATCATCTTGTTGAAACCACATGTCAGCCAAGTCCAGCTCTTCCATTTTGCGCAAAAAAAAGTTTGTTATCATCGCACGGTAGCGGTCGCCATTCACAGTTACGTTTCGGCCATTGTCGTCTTTGAAGAAGTACGGCCCGATGATGCCACCGGCCCATAACCCACACCAAACAGTGATTTTTTCGGGATGCATTGGTAGCTCTTGCTGGTCTTCACTGCAAATGTGGCAATTTTGCTTGTTAACATACTCATTCAACCAGAAATGAGCTTCGTCGCTGAACACAATTTTTCGATAAAAATGTGAATCATCCTCCAACTTTGCCGGCGCCCATTCACCAAATTGGGAACGTTGTGGGAAGTCGTGTGGCTTCAATTCTTGCACCAGCTGTATCTTATAAGGTTTAAAACCCAAATCCTGTCGCAAAATTTTCCACGTAGTGAGGCCCAATTGCTGCGAACGGCGGCGAATCGAGATTTCACGGTCATCACTAACACTGGCGGATACAGCCGCAATATTTTCTTCAGTCCTCACTCTACGTGTGCGTGTTGGTGGTTTAATGTCCAATAATGTAAACTGGGTTCGAAATTCAGTCACAAGCTTCCGAATAGCTCCCTCAGTAGGCCGACCAAATTGCCCATAAATTGGAAGCAGTGCTCGATGCACTCTCTTAACCGAGCATGAATTTTGATAGTAAAATTCAATAATTTTCAATCGTTGTTCGTTCGTAAATCGATTCATGGTTAAATTATAGACCAAACTGAAGAAGTTTCACAATGACACAAGACACGATTCACGCGTCACCTGTCAAAAACTGTGTTGCCAAAAAGATACTAGCAAAAAAATCACCCATTATATCCTTTTCCTGGCCGGTTTTTCCTCGCGCAAGAACGTTGATGTAGGCACAATATGACAATTAGACAACCCAAAACGCTGCAAATTGATCAAGAGGTTAATACATTTGTGTTTTTGGATCGGCCATATTTGAAATGTTTTTATGCAAAAGGGCTCGGCTTTCACAAAAAAGACACTTATTACATTTGGAGTTTTTATCTGGCAGGTGTTTGGCTTCAAGAAGATCTGTGAAGAACAAGACGCCAAGGATCTCGTCGCAGAAGCTGAAAATGGTGAAATGTATGAAATCAACAAAGATGTTAACAAGGAGGTTCACAAGGATATCGACGAAGCTAGCCTCAGAAGCAGAGCTTCTGCTGTTGCTCAGGGTTAAAATGTTTACGCCTTGCCTGAATGGATAATTATTTGAAATTATTATCACCTTCCAGTTAAGTAATAGGTCTGCTTTCACTATGGTTAGACAAAGAGAGCTTAGTATTATATTTATTTCCAGAATGAGCTCTATTTTAGATATATGGTTATTTGAAAGCTTAATGCTAGCAACTATTTATATTGTCAATCGTTAACTAGCCTTAAGATAAAGGTGATATCTATAGAAAAAGTGTCAAGCCAACTTTGAATAGGGTTTCTTTAAATGTCTAAGAAGTTCTGGAAACAGTACCGGTAAGGACGATGAGTTTTGTCTTCCATTTTGTCACTCAACCATAAGCATATCCAAAATTCCTTTTCATCTGTTAAGAATTTTCATTTCTTAAATTGTTGCCACTAACGAAAAGGTACCAAGTATTATATTCCTATCAATTCATTCATGATAAAATGATGCTTCTCTTCAGTACTTGATGCAAGTGGGTAGTAATAATTCTAAGAAAGCTGATAAAAATGGACTGTAAATTGTTAAAATAATTATTTTCTTTGACGTTGTTACAGTAGGTTGTAGTCATTCAATTATAATAAGTGTGATATGTATTTGCATTTGCATAGTTGTTTAAAGTGTAAATACGTCTAGCCGGATTATTTATTTTATTACAGCATATTGCTCAGTACATGTGTAAGGTATTTTTGTGATTGTATTTAAATAAAGTATTGTTTAGTTGTCTGGAAGAATTTTACTAAAAATTTTGAGCAATACGATGTACCCCGAATTCGACCCCTCATTCCTTGTTATAATAATAATAATAATAACGTCTTTATTGGATAACCCGGAGGGACATAAACAGCGAAGTTTAGCCAAGGCTACTCCTACACTTAACTGTTTATGTCGGTTACATCTGATGTTCAAAACATGGAAAAAAATATATATAAGAACGATGAAAAAAAGAACACATATATACCTAAGTATAAAATACAAATAGACACAATCTATATCTGTAGCAGAAATGCGAGCAACATGCTTTTAGTATGTTTACGAAAACTTTCCAAAGACATCAATTTAATACTGTTGTCCAACTGATTATAAAATAGTGCTGCATTATATGTAAATCCTCGTTGGAATGATGCAGAAGTGTGTGGGGTGGTTCTGATACTATAACGATTCCTAACAGTCCTGTCATGCACTTCGTAATTAAATCTTAACTTAGCTCTTAGATATTCAGGCTTTGATGACAATATTATTTTATGAACTAAAACTAAGAATTTATGTTTAACCAAACTTCCTAACCTAAGCCAGTTCAATTCCCTATATTTATCACTTACGTGATCGTATTTACGCAACCCATAAATAAAGCGAACACAGTTATTTTGGATGATTTGAAGACGATTTTTGATCAATTGATCCAAACATGGATAATAAACGACATCACAGTAACTGAGCATTGACATCACCAAAGATTCGCACAGTTTTTTTCTCAGCTTAAAGTTAAGCAAGTAGCGATTGGAATAAAGAGCCCTAGAACACAGGTAAGTTTTTTTCATCAAATTAGCTATTTGGCTGCGGAATCTTAATTTTGTGTCAATTTCCACTCCTAGTACCTTAGCTGTTTGAGTATGCTGTAATGTTATGCCATCAATAGTCAGATGGAAAGAATCTTCGACAGTTTTCCTCTTCTGATCAGAACAAAACAATAACACTTGTGTCTTATCTGGATTAATAGTAAGATTATGTTCCATAGAAAACTGATGTACCTTATCTAAATCAAGCTGTAAAATGTCTGATGAATTTTGCGTATCTGAGGCGTCGAAATGGAATATTATTTGAGTATCGTCAGCAAATGTTTGTATCCCTGAATTGTCAACTGCTCTATGCAGGTCACACGTGTAAATCAAAAAGAGCACAGGTCCCAAAAGTGAGCCTTCCGGAATTCCTGACGGAATAGTCGTAATATTGGATTGACCGTTATTGATTGCGACACATTGCATGCGACCGGACAAATAGCTACGGAAAAAACTGACAGCAGCATCATCGAAGCCTACATACCTCAGCTTGGCGCACAAAAGTTTATGATTTATTCGATCGAATGCTTTGGAATAGTCAATTGATACCACTGCTGTTGCTAACTTTTTGTCAACTGCCCTAATAACATTATCACAAAGATCTAACAGTGCCGAGCTGGTACTATGGTGCTTCCTGAAGCCCGATTGACATGACGATATTATTTTTAGTTCCTCTATGTAATGGACAACTTGTTGCTGTATAATTTTTTCCAAAATTTTCGATAGCACCGGCAACAAACTAATGGGTCTAAGATGTTTAAGTTCAGTAGGTTTAGATATTTTAGGGACAGGTATAATTAGAGCCAGCTTCCACAGCTTAGGGTGGTAGCCATTTTCCAAACATGAATTTATTATGTGGGTGATATGGAAAAAAGTTACGGGAAGACTTACTTTGACCATGGTTAGTGAGAGGGTGTCAATTCCTTTTGCATCTGATTTGATATCTTTGATTGCCTTCAATATTTCCACCGGCTCGACAACTCGCAAAGAAAAACGATTTCGATTGTCCAATTTGTTGCTGTCATAAAACCGACATACATTTTCTGAGACACTGCCGTAACTATAAACTGACATAAAATAATTGTTAATACTATTTGCATCGACTAGCTCATCTGGTATTGTTTGTTTTGAACGAGATTTTATGTTAAGCCTATTCAGCCCAGACCATAAAGTTTTTAGATTATTTTGATCAGTTAGATTCTTCTTTTCATTCGAATTTTATGTAGTGCCTTATTCCTCAGCTGTTTGAATTTATCAAGGTCTTCAAGTGATTTACTAGCTTTATATTTGGTAAAAGCTGAATCTTTTTCTTTGATAAGCTTTTTCATTCCCTCATCCAACCAAGGAGACGGCGGTTTATTAACACGTAGTGTCTTAATCGGAGCATGTTTGTTATAAATATTTGTGAGGGTTGTCGTCAGATGTTCCACTTTAGCATCTATGTTATTCATAAAATATAAGTCATCAAGATTAGAGGTACACAGATCTGAAATGAAAGCTGCCTCATCAAACTCACGGAAGTCTCTCACGCATATGAATTTTTGATGCATCTTGCCAGCACTAAGTTTCAGAGTACCCATAACAAGCTTATGGTAACAGATATTTCATGAGCATCAAGTACCAAACAGCCAGTGACAAGTTCCGGCTGATTAGTGAAAAATGCAATGAAGCGGTGTCGTTTGTCACCCGTGTAGGAGATGTAACTAACTGTGAAAAGCCAGTTACCTCAAAACTCGAGGATATGATATTAGTTGAATTCAGAAAATCGTGATTCAAATCACCCAAAATAATAACATTGTCAAAATCATTAACGATGACGGGTAGCAAATTATCTAAGACATTAGCACCGTCCAAAAGACTTTGCGACGGCGGACGATACAAAACGCCAACCGCGAATTTATGTTTATCTACATTCACTTGCACAAAAAGAGTCTCTAAACATACAACACGAATATCAATATTAATAACTTTTGCATTCAAATGCGATTTAATATAAATGCCAACACCACCGCCTCGTGAGGCTCGATCACAACGGAAAAAATTGTATCCATCGACACGTACAATGTTATCAGGGATGTCGCTAGAGAGCCATGTCTCATTTACTGCTAAGAAATCAAAATTCTCAGTTTTCAGTATAGTTGTGAAAGCATCAAAATCTGATAAAAGAGACCGTATGTTTAAATGTCCAATTCTTAACTCTTTAATCTTCATAATTAACCCTATCCCTAAGATTATGATAATGAGAAATATATACTGGACATGACTTATCACCTGCCTTATGGGCTACATCAAATTTTGTATGAAACTTGATATTATGGTTAAAACAGTTTTTACATTTTTCCGTGCTAGCTTGGTAGTCTCTAATACTATGGTCTTTTGCACATTTAATGCAAGATACGGTCTGCACTCTGCAGTTTTTCGAACCATGACCATACGCACAACAATTAAGGCACTGTAAGACATTGATATGGTCAGATACATAATGCTTCATCCATCCCAGGTAGACAATCCCCTTATCAATGATATTCTTTCTTACCGTTGGTGGAACTTCGATTACCAGATGCACTTGATTACTCTTTCTCGTTTTCAGCCTTGTGACTATCTTCATAGTTGACAAATTCTCCTCATCTAGGTTATTCAGCATCACAACCTTACGGAGTATACTTGCATCGTCGCCCAGATCGTCATCCAGTGTAACATTCTTGACAAGCAATCGAGGGTTGTACTTTTCAGACTTTTTTATTTGATACCCACTGCCTAATTTAGACTTTAGGGCAGCACTGAGTTTTTCTAAGTCAGATCCATCCCTACAGTAAACTGCTGCACCTTGTTTCGTTTTCCTAGTTCCATCTATTCTAATGTCCAGATTTTCCAGGTTCACGCTGCTTTTTATTGATTTAATCACATCAGTATTTCCGTTATTGCTATCCGTTTTTACTAGAAGGACAGCTGATTGTTTGTTTACATGTTTTTTCAGCACACTGTTATACGGTACATTCTGAGAAGTGGAAATACCATGAGAAACTGCTACAGTTTTTGACGCAGCTGTTTCAGAATTTGTTTCTAGTTTTGATTTTAATAACGTGTTTGAATATTCAAGCTCGTTTAATAATTTTTCTAGCAGCTGTTTTTCTCGCCTCAGGCATTCTATTTCCTTGATGTAGATAGGTAATTCGGCATTCTGCTCGGTGGGATTCTTGAAGGATTTTTTGCACTTGTCACATAACCAAAACACATTTTCACTTTTTTGTAGGAATTTTTGTATGTCATCTTTTATTGATGCACATTGACTATGGTAACGTTGTTCACAATTTTTGCAGCAGACATATTTTCCATTAACAATAAAATTATCGGAGCAGCGCTCGCACACGTGCACGTCGCTCGACATCTCGTTGATGACCATATTTGAATTTTCAGTCTCCACATTAATGAAGTACCGAAATTCGTGTTGTTGTTACCGTACAGAATAAAAAAGAGCATTTTCAATAATCCATCTTGTGAGCTCAAGTTGAAGTTTCAAATAGTAAAGAGTGGAAGACAATACGACAAGAACAGGATTATCCTTATCATTATCAACGGGTGCAAGCGTTACAACCTGAAGATCATCCTAGAAGAGTGGCATTTTTCCAGTGGCCTTAAGATCAGTTCGGCATGAAGATTTTGCGAAAGTAATTTTGTGTACAGACGAGGCCACATTTACACGAAATTGAGTGCACAATTTCGACAACAATCATTTTTGGGCAGTAGAAAATACGCATGCTGTAAAAAGAACTCATTTTCAACATAAATGTTTGGGCTGGCATGGTAAATGGCATGCTTATTGGACCCTACTTTTCTCCACCTCGACTGAACTAGAAGTGTTCTTCTAAATGTGAGACAGAATATGTGGCTCCTACACGACGGGGCTCCTCCACATTTTGGACGAGAAGTTCATGAACATCTAAATAGTGAGTTTCCGAATTGATGGACAGAGCGTATTGGAGCTATTTCTTGGCCTGCCCGCTCCCCGGATTTAACGCCTTGCGATTTTTTCTTCATTAAATCCGCATGCAGTTCGGGAAAGAAATTTTCAGCATGGATGTAGTGTGAACGTGTGGATTAGTATCTACCGTAATCCACTATTTGGACCCTACCTTTTGCCTGCAAGGTTAA